AACAGCACTCTAATCTCTAATAGGTTTATAGACTAGTGATCAGCATTGTGATTTGTATTAATTACTGCAAATTAAATAAGTTTTATAGCTAAAAATTAGTATAGTTAAAAATTATTGAACGTTTGAATTGAGTTTTTTTGATTTATAATTGAAAATTTGCTTTGTCATTCATAAAAAATGTAATTAAAAAATTAAATACAAATATTTCTCATTTTTAAATGAACATATTAAATATTCATAGTATTATTTTTAATATTGATCAATAATATGTTATAATTCTTTTGATGTTTCAATAAAACGTTGAAAATTTTTGCTGTGTCTATTGTCATATATTTTATTAGTTCAACTACTGCTCCCGGAGTATTCAACTACTGCAGCTTGTCCGAATTAATTGTTCAACTACTACTCCTTTCATAGTTTATCTTAAAAATGTTGTCAAAATATAAATATTAAATTATTTTTGTTATTTTGCTCAATCAATTTAAAATTGTTTATATTTTCATGAAAATCACTAACTTGAACTAATAATTACATCTTTGTACATTCAAAGTTGAGTCAAATACATTTTACTTTGAAACCTGTTCGACTATTGGGTACCTTTTTACCTTACTTATTTTCATAGAATATTCTTTTACAAAAAAAAAAATTTTTTTCTAATTGAAAAAATTTTCTTCCTTGGAAATTTTTAATTTATAAAAAAAGTACTCAACAATACAATTAAACTATGAATTTTATGAATAGTATTTTTTTTTTTTTAATAATTTTAAAAATATTTATAATATTTTTATTTGATCTTTTCTTTATGAATTAGAGTATGCTATTTATGATTATCCATAAATTAAGTCGTCGAATAAACAGAAATATTTTCTTACGTGCATGTAAATTATTTTTTCAGTCTTGATCCTAACAACAGAAGAGCACTTGAAGGTATGCATCGCTTAGACAGTACAGCCACTAAATTTGAAACACCATATTATATGAATGTGGGTGAAGAACATGCTGATACAACTTACGACGTTGGAGACGGCCTACCTGACTCTGATAATGATGAAGCTGTTGAAGAAAGTGAAACAGAAGCAGTTTGGTCTGATATGGATTTAGAAGCCAATAGTCAGTAAAATATTGATCATTTTATTTACTAAGAATTAATTGAATAATCGGTGATTGAGTCGCTGAGTAAAATAATTTATTTATAAAATTTTTTTTTTAATCTATTAAAAAAAATGACGCGCAAAATTTGATACAATTTTGTAGTAGCAATGAAAGTGCCAATTTGATTTTTTGAGTTAAAATTATAGAAATTTCATAGTAAATCATTTTAAAAAATATAATGGTCTAGAAATGGGGTTCTATTTGTGTGGCTTATAAAAAATATTTTATGATTTGATTGATTTGAATATTTAATAAATAGCCTATTAGATTTGAACAAAATTAAATGACAATATGAAGTTAGCAAATTTTAAGTGAGATGTATAAGTTTAGAAACTAGAAATATTCTGCACTCACTATAGTACTTAGACGGAAGTAAAAAATTGTAAATGAAAAAAAATAAAATTCAATTTTTAATATTAACAAAGACACATTTTGAATTTTTAGTATCAAATTTTGGAAACGATATTTTTGATCTAAACTAATATTCGAATAATTATGTTAAATTATATATCTTTTTTTTTTTTTTAAGCAAAATTTCATGATACTGAATTTAATAGACATATAAAAATTTTTTAGATTTTCATAACAATTAAATTATAATGAAAAAAATTTAGCAAAAAAATTCCACATATAGAAATATTAAAAACATTATAAGAATTCCAAGAATTGTCAGTCGGCTAATTTCAGTAACATAAAATTTCAATTAAAATTTAATTTATTATAAGATAAATTTTGTATATTTATAAATAAATTTGTATAAAAACTTTTAGTTATTGTAAGTTAAATTTTCTTGATAACAGCTACAAAAAAAAGTTAAGTGGTGATTTAGACAGTCTCAATTTTACGAGAGCTTGGTCTCAAATCTGTGGCGTCACTTTTCATGGACAAAGTACTTGAACATTTATTAAAGTCGTTTTTTTTTTTTTTACATATTATGGTATGATTATTCTTTATATCTAATTGACAATAGTAATATTAAATTACAGCTTTTTATTTTTTCAGTTGATTAGACATCAAATGAATAAATACATCATCATTTTTACAGACTAAAATAGTTGTGCCTCATTTCTAGACCTTTGTAAAATGTAAATGAATTAAAAAAAACTAATTAAATAACTTTAAAGATTAAAATTGCAAAACCATTTTTTTACTGTACATAACGCCAGGGTAACGTACTATTTTTTCTCATATACTTTTCAAAAATAAATAAAAATCGTAAAAAAAAATTCTCACTATTAATTATTTTTTTTTTTTTGAGAATAATATTATTTTCACAAATAATAAATCAAACCATGAAGAAAATAAATTGCGTTATCCTGGAAACATATTAAAAAATTTTTTGTTAATATAATAGTATAATATATTTTTTTATTTTTTATACAAGCAATTTATACATTCAAAATTATTTGATGGCCCTATAATTATTTGATTTTCACAAAAATAAGTCTCCAAATTATTATATAAATTTTTTTTTATTATTATAAACATTTATAATTTATAAAAATTTTATATTTGTCGTTAATTAGAATAGTAGATAATTTTTATTATAAATTGTAAAAAATAGAAGTGTTAATTCTAAACTTTCTCATTGATATTTTATACTTATAAAATCACGGGTTTTTCTTATCATTTTAGACAAACCTTATAAATTAAAAATAAAACAATAAAAGTTTTAAAAGTTTAGAATTTTTTATTTCCATAATTTATAAGTTATAATTATACATAATTTTATACAATTATATTCGCCTTTAGACATTTATATTCAATGAAATGAAATTGTATATAATTTTTGTGTAATTGTATATAATAATCATGCATAATTATATATTTTTTTCCTAGGGTATATATATATATATATATATATATATATTTAATAAAAAAGGTTTTTGACTATTTGTTCAAAAATAAAAAAATACTAATTTAATCAATCAATTTAAAAAAAGGGCCATTCGGCAACACCCGACATAGATAGGTAGATTTCTTGCTTGAATATTGAAATATTGAAATAACACGTTATTAAAAGGCAATAACGTCCTAAAATATATTTTTTATTATATTTTTGCAAATAACGATATGAGACCAACTACAACAAATAGATATTCAAATACATCTACCTAAAAAATAGGATTTGTAACAGATGAAAGTAATTTGATGATAAAAGCTAAAAATTAATTTATTCTTGATTTTTTTTTAATTTTCCCAACTACGAAGTAAATTAAAAAAAGTATCAAAAGTCGACTAATAATAGCTTAAATTGAATATATATATATATATATATATATATATATTTAATAAAAAAGGTTTTTGACTATTTGTTCAAAAATAAAAAAATACTAATTTAATCAATCAATTTAAAAAAAGGGCCATTCGGCAACACCCGACATAGATAGGTAGATTTCTTGCTTGAATATTGAAATATTGAAATAACACGTTATTAAAAGGCAATAACGTCCTAAAATATATTTTTTATTATATTTTTGCAAATAACGATATGAGACCAACTACAACAAATAGATATTCAAATACATCTACCTAAAAAATAGGATTTGTAACAGATGAAAGTAATTTGATGATAAAAGCTAAAAATTAATTTATTCTTGATTTTTTTTTAATTTTCCCAACTACGAAGTAAATTAAAAAAAGTATCAAAAGTCGACTAATAATAGCTTAAATTGAAGATAATCATGTGAACTTTAAAATAAATTTAATAAATTAAAGCTAACTTTTAATGATACTGAAGTTAGCCGCCAGCTGTCAATTTTAAAAATTTTAATAACAAATCAATTACAATAAAAAAATGCTTCTAAAAATTTTCACTTATAATTTTTATTAATTTTAACATGTGAAATTTTTTAATTAAAATTTTTTCGTAAAATTTTTTTCAATAAAAAAAATTCTAAAAATTTTTAGATGTTGGCTAACTTTATTGTCATAACTTTTACGGCTTAAAAATTATTTAAAGAAAAACGGCCGAAATACGTTCATTGAAAAATATTTTCAAATTTTCAAAATCACGGAATTAATTAAAAAAAATCATCAAAACTAGATTAATAATAGCTTAAATTGAAGGTAATTAAATGAAGTTTCAGATAAATTTAATAGATTTCATCTGGAAAATTATTTCCATAAAATATGCGAAATTCAAAATTTTTTAAAAATAAAAAAAATTTTCAAACACCCACAACTCGTAAACTAACCGGCCGATTTTGCTCATCTTCGAACTTGATCTTAGTATTGATCTACAGAATGAGCCCACAAAATTTCATCAAGATCGGTTGAGAACTGTGGGCGCAATCTTGCTTACATGGCGCGTTATATCAAATAAATACATATATAGACTTTTGAATGCTATTTTTCAACATTACTCGATGAAATTAAACATATGAAAAAATTTTCTATAAATTACATAATACCGGCTACAATAGATAGATTTCTGAAGATATCTACCTAAAAATACATTCAAAATAAAAAATTTAGTGTAAAGATAAATATTTATTGAAAATAATTTTTAATATATTTGACATAAATTAAATATTTTTATTGACAGTAATGAGAAAATAGTGCATGCGTTTACTATTCTATAATTCATGATAATCGATTAGCTATTTTATTTATAGTTGATTCACATTATATGTGTTACAAACTTGACAATAAAAGCATTTCTCAACTAAGCGTTGGGTGCGAATGCGCGTTTGGAAAGAAGAGCTTTCATGACATCGTAGTAAGAACAGCCACCTGTCGATTCGAGTGTATTCTGATCAAGAGTAGTTCAAAGTAGGCTTCTCTTTCAGAGAAATATAAAAAAATTATATAGTATTAAATTACAAGTGTCAATCATTGCTCAATAGTAGTATTAAAAATAAAATTTTTTTTATCGAATTTTATTTTATATTCTTCGAAAATTATGAAAATTTGATTTGTTTAAAGTATAATTTTTGTGTAAAAAATATTTTTTTAAAAATTAAACTAAGCGATATGTAGTACAGCAATTATTTTCTTAATAAGTAAAAAATTTTTTTTACTCCAAGGATAATTTTTTCATAAAAAACTGCTTGGTATGTATTAACTTTAAAAAAATTTTATTTTTTATAAATAGATCCTAGAAAATTTATTTGTTTAGATAAATTATTTAATTTTTTTATTAAACATTAAAAAAACTTGTTAATTAATTGTAATTATTATAGTTATCAGAACGGAAGAATAGTATTATTTTTTTTCTCGTGATAAATAAATACTTAACTATAATATTATATCTTTCGATGATAAAAATAAAATTAACATTTAGGTAAAAAAAAAAAAAATGTTATAAATAGAAATGGTAACAGCTGTTATGGTGCGGCACTTACGCCAATTACTAACAGGATATGTATAAATTGATAAGAAATAATAATAGGCATGAAAGTATAAAAAATCGGAGAGTAACGTATTTTATTATAATTATAGATCTTGCAGAAGAATCTTTTTTACTATTTTATGTAAATACTTTAGAAGTGATTTTGATGCTCAAATTTAAATTTTATATGCGAAGAAATAAAATTTTATTTATTTTGATTTTTACAAGAACCGAACTCGGTATTAAATTAACAAAAAAGAACTTGTAAACAATTAGTATTTTTTTTTTAAATAACATTTAAAGAGTTTTTTTTTACAAATTTAAAGTTCCAACTCAGGATTGTGAAATTTTTTATATAAAATTATTCCATAAATTAAATTTAATTTTTTTAATGCACCGCATCTTGCGTCAACTGTTAAATTTATTATTTTAATTAGAATATTTTGTATTAACTCATTAAATTTAATTTTCTTCTAGAAATATTTTGCATTAAAAAATTTAATTCAACTATTAGTCTAAAATATCTTCATTGAAAAATTGAATTTTATGGCAAATGAAAAATATTTTCACTAAAAAAAATATTAATCTTAGCAGTTAATGAAAAATTATACGACATTAAATTTAGCTGTGATTTGACGATTTTTTACAAATTCCTTGCGAGAAATTATTTTAAAAAAATTCCATTTTTAACTTTTTAAAATTTCTGCATGTCAATTTTTTTTTCTAATTTTTTTAGCCATAATTTATTTAAAAAAAAATTTTTTTTAAACTATTAAATATCTCCTAAATTAATTGTCATAAAATTTTCATTAAAAAATAAAAATTAGCGAGAAATAAAAATATCAAAACATTCAAAAACTTCGTCGAAAAAAAAAATCGTTGATTTAACTTGAAATGACCTACATATGTGCGTGTCAATATTAGGTCAGCCCAAACTGACATAAATGGAAATGTGTTGCATGTAAGCTTTCCAACCACTTCAATTAACTAAAAGTATCTTTAAAAAAAAGAAGTATTAAAAAATAATGATTCAATTTTTTTTTTTTTTTTTTTTTTTTTTTTTTTTTTTCCAGTGTACGCATTAATATTTAGACCATCAGATTTTACTTAATATCTTTTTTAATAGTTTCAAGGAGCTATGAATAAATTGATGGTTACGATATAAAAGGAATGATAAATTTTTTTGGAAATGGATTCTCAATACATATCGAACAGTTCGAGGAGTCAAAATCCTAAATGGGTCTGTCCAAGTGATCGTCAATTGGCACTACGAGCAAAGTAAATTTTTTTATTATTCATTTAAAAAAAAATATCACAGTTAAAGGTAGACGCTAGTAAATGTATTTTTCTAATTACGTCTCAAATAAATTTTTCCGGATCCAATAAACCAATCAAATGCAAGTTTCCGAAAAATAATATATTACTAGCGATCGCGAAAGCTTTCTGATAGTTAATTTAAAATTTGTTTCAAAAATTAATTAGAACAATAAAATTTTAGAAAATACATTTACTACGGTCTAGCTTTAATGTATCAAAATGTTATATACCTACAGTGAAATTTTCTAAAATCAATACATCAGGGCTTGAAATTCATTAGGAGCTAAAATGATAGAGCGTTAAAATGATAACAATTTCACTGTATAGAAATTTCAATGCGTAAATTTGTATTGTAATTTGATAAATTTTATTGTACTACTATAAATTAAATTAAATTTGTTTTTTTTTTCTTCAATTATTTATTGTAGATAATTAAAAAAATTTAGAAATTCATTGGTACCCTAAGAAAAAAAAATTAAAAAAAAAAAAAATGAACTATGTTGTAATAAGAAATCAATTTATTAAAAAGTTTCAATAATTTTATTTCTTAGCGGAAGAAATAAAAATTTTTCCCATTGTAACTTTCTTGTTGAAAAAAAAAGTTTTTTTGATTTGGAAAAGAAACAATTTAAAAAACACAACTTGCGGCTTTTTATCTAAAATTATTTTTTCCAAATCTATACACGGAGAGAATTTTATGTTAACCCTAACAATACTTGTTTTGTAGATTTTACTATCTTAGATAGTAATTAATTTAACAAAAGTTGAAAAGATAAATATAACAATTTAAATTATAATCAGTACAATAATAAAATAATAATTCCTAAAATAGAGCGATCGTACCATTTACTATCGAGATGGTTACATTTACCATCACAAGTGGTTAAAGGTACCAATTGTATTATAAGTTTTTCAGTCAAAGTAAGCACTGAATTTATGATGATAAGTATTTAGGCTGCATTCGACAATGCTCTATCTCTAGATACATAATTAAGAAATGACCTTGTATCTGGTAAACTATTGACATTTTTTAAGATATATAAACTCATTCCAATGTTACACTTATCAAGATCTTTCATTTAAGTACCCACATCATTTTTTCATATATTAATATATATTATATATATTTATATATAAAAATATATCAAAAATGCATGTGGGTACTCAAATAAAAACTCTTGATGAGTATAACATCAGGATGAGCTTATATCACTAAAAATGTCAATAATTAAGAAATGACCTTGTATCTTGTGAATTATTGACATTTTTAAAGATATAAGCTCATCTCGACATTACACTCATCGAGACCTTTCATTTGAGTACCCACATCAATTTTTCATATATTTATATATATTATATATATGTAAATATGAAAAATATATCAAAAATGCATGTGGGTACTCAAATGAAAGCTCTTGATGAGTATAACGTCAGGATGAGCTTGTATCATTAAAAATATCAATAATTAAGAAATAACCTTGTATTTTGTGAACTATTGACATTTTTTAAGATATAAGCTCATCCCGATATTACAATCATCAATACCTTTCATTCAAGTACCCACATCATTTTTTTTATATATTTATATATATTATATATACACATATATATATGAAAAATATATCGAAATGTATGTGCGTAATCAGATGAAAGCTCTTGATGGGTGTAACATCGGGATGAGCTTATATCTTTAAAAATGACAATAGTTAAAAAAGTACGGTGCAATTTAAAAAAACTCATTATTTCATGAGGCAAAATTTTATTTATTTATAGTTCACAAGTTACGACAGTCACATAAGTGACTGCAGGTTGCTAGTAATAATAATAATAATAATAATAATAATAATAATAATGTGGTGGTAGACATAAACTGAAAATTAAAATTAATTTTTTTTTATTCTAATTAATATTAGAAATGACTTTTATTTAATATAAATATCAATTTGATAAAATATAAACTCTGATGGTAATAATTATCATTAAAGATTGTAGAAATTATTAATTTGATTTTAAAAATTATTATCAAGATATTTAATCAAATCATCTTAGATAGTTGAAAATACAATCTTATAGTAATATAAAAGATGGTAAAAATTACTATATTGGTGGTAACTCTAATAATTTATATCGTATTTATAATAATAAAAGGTAGTATTCATTACTATCGAAGTATTTTAGAGCTTTTTACAATACTCAGATGATAGTATTTACCAAAAAATTCTCTCCGTGTAGAAGACTTTTTTTTTCAACAAGAAAATTGATTAAAAAAAAATGGTTTCTCTGCGTATTAGTTTAATTTTTTAAAATGGCACTTTTATAAAATCTAAGTGCTTTATTGTCTAGTTATATTTTTAGATATTTTGACTATTTTTAGACAGACGTCTACTCGTGGGGGTGGGTGTGGGTGTACGCATTAAAAGGATTTATATAAAGCTAATATCTCATAATCCTCTGGAGTAAATTGTTCAATATATTTCTTTTGTGCAAAGAATACAAATTAAAAAAATTTTTTACAATTTTTATCGCTTAATTTCAAATTTAATTGACTAATTAGTTTCAAAATTTAGTTAAGACTCTCAAATAGTTGACTGGTACAATTGCTGAAATATTATTTCCTTAAATTTTTTCCATTAGGTAATCTAGTCTTCTTAAATCTATTTATTTAAATTTTATGATCACGGATAAAATTTCATTACTTTTTTTATATAATTTAATTGTTCAGCTTCCCGAAAGAATTATAAATATTGGAAAAGTAGCACTCTATTGTTTTTAATTGCTTGAATAATTCCATTTCAAACTTTTGAGTACTCTGTTCATGAAAATTATATTTACGCTCACCTTCAAATTCAATTTTATTTCAATTTAGAAGAAAAACTTCCATTAAAATTATTTTCTTTGAGTTGTATATAAAATGAAAAAATTTATTTTTCATGAGAGCTTAAATTTTAACGACGAGAGAAAGAAAACTTCTTTTGATCATTGTATTTGAAAGTATACGAAAGGAAAGAGTTCTATATGGTGTTAAAAATGTTTTCTCAAATTAAGCCATCGGGAACGATTCAATTAAAATTCTTTTTACATTTACTGCGTCAATAAAAATACATAAATTTTGTCTTCTTACATATTACATATAAATATTATATATGGGTCATTATTTTTTATCAATTTAACGAAGTTTTGTCGCTACCCCTTCAATTTTTTTTATTTTTTGATGTGTTATAGATGCCAAAAAAAGTATCCATTAAATTTTTAGCTCTCTATCTCGATAGTACCAAAATTGAAGAAATATTTTTAAAATATTCATAACTTAAACAATAATCTAGATATTCAAACCTTGTTGGAGGTATTTTTTATTGTTTTTAAATGTACTTTTTGAGAAAAATCTTTTTTAGTGACTTTTGACCGAGTAAAAAAATTTGAATTTCTCTTCATTGGACCCCTCCGATTTTTTTCAAAAAAATTTATAAAATTCGACGTAAAAAATAAAAATTGTGCCAACAACAAGTGGTGTTTCCAAGCGGTCACCCATCCAAGTACTAACCACGCTCAATACTGCTTAATTTAACTTCAGTGATCGGACGAGAACTGGTGTTTTGTTTATTGTTTATAAATGTTTGTTTCATTGAACCCATAAAAAAAATTACAATTATTTCTTAAACTATTTAATGCTTAAACAAACTAAAACAAGCTTTAATTACATTTTTTAATATATATAATGGCCAGGCTGGGCAACGCAATGCAGTACAACTTTCTTATAAGTTCTTGCTCTTTCGAGGCGTTTTCAGTTTTTTTTATTTCTTTACTTGTATAAATGAATAATTTTTTTTTTCTATACTGGAGAAGGGTTGTAAATTCCGTAGAACTGGTGTTTTGACTCAACATAATATGGTCGTTGACGAACAGTGGTAAAATATCCTTGTACTTAAATTAGTTGAAAAAAAAAATTGGTTGTTTGTAAAATCGGTTTACGGACGATAGTTTGAAAATGTAAATATTGTATATAGATGTAAGATAAACATAGTTTATAAGAAATAGAATTAAGTTAACCACAACATAACGAAACCTAAATAATAAGGTTTTTTACCCACTTATCCCTAAGAAGTCACAAATATCAAATAAATACGTATTGTTAACATTAATTTATATACACGGAGAGAAATTTATAGGAATCTTTCCAACAATTATGGGAATGGATCCTATAATAAAATTATCATTATAGGCATTAATCCTATACTCATTATGGGAACCATACCCATAATTTATTGGAAACGTTCCTATACAATAACGGAATAGCTTCAATATATTATGGGAATGACGCACATAATAATAGAAAAAAGTTTATCCTCTTAATAATGAAGCAATCACTTCAAAAACATAAAATAATTATTATGTGTTTTTTTGCTAATAAAATTTTTTTTCAAAATTTCTTTTTCATAATTTTTATTCACGTATGTTCTTAATCTTGAATTATTTATTCCAGCTCAGTGATTATTGTGTTAAATAATATTGAAAAATATTGTAGCAATTTCAAAGTTTCTCTAATAAAAAGGATATTTTCACACTATACAATTGTAGAAGCAAAATAGATATGGAAATTCATTGTTTATTTTCACAATTTCATTTTATCTTTAAAGCAAATTATTTATTTAAAATATATACGTTGAGCCGCGAAAACATTTGAAAACTTGGAATTTCAAAACAATTGGAAATTTGATTTTATTTAAGAAATTTTTTTTTTAATTAACTTTTTTTTTCTTAATTAGTTTTATTTTTATTTACAAGCATATATACCATTTAAGATTAAAAAAATTAGAAAAACGGTTCACCCTAAAGGCCATCCCTGCAACTTCCCGCTCATTT